AAAAGGGTGTGCAATTATAGGATTAGTAGACAAATCGAATAAGACAAAAAACGTTACGTAATATTGTGTAAGTCGGTGGCGTAGCGGTTAGGACGCTCGCCGACCATGCACATGGTCCGGAGTTCGATCCCCGGCTACTAACGTAATCCTTTACCTCGCTAAGCCAGAAACAATGCTGGTAAAGAGGAAAGGTTGGGCATGAGGTTAGTAATCCCATCCTGGAAAATGAAGCACTGCTACAGAAACTTCAAGCTTCTGGCTTGAGGCCCTATGTTCCACTGGGAATGTGAAGGAAAAATTATTATTATTTATTATTAATATTGTGTGAAATGTAATAGCATAGAATTTAACTTTGTAAAAAAGAAAGAACTGATTTTGAATGACAAGTGGAACAAGTGAAATAATACCGAGGACGGTTCAAAGTGAGAATAGTAATAATAACAATTGACTTAATAAGGAAGAGTATACAAATTGAATAGACAAAATGAAAAAATGAAAATTTAGTAGAGCCAAAATATGATTGGGGATTACCATACTTTAGCATAGAGAGATCAAGATACTATGGAAGTTGGAGGGGTTGAACGAACTTTTTCTGTACACAGAGATCTGGTTTTTCTGTTTCGATAGCCAAAGCTTCAGCAATACAGTTTTTTAATTGCATTTCATACTATTATTCTTATTATTTCATGCATTCACACCTATGATTCAATTCGCTCACCGGATATAACTTCTTAAAAACCATATATATACGATTGTATAGAAAATAAAAGACAGATTCAGCAAAGAAAATTTTCTTTATCGACGAAATCGTCTTCAGAGGCTGACTGTACAGTCGTATTTATACTTAGAAAAATGTATAGTGGTCTATTATTGAGTAATAGAGGGTGAAATAATTCATGTAATTAATTATAAGTGGCTTTAGAAGTGAAAATTAAAAGTCGTAAATTACATGGTACTCAACGTTGGCACAAACATAGGAATTTGATAAGGTTAAAATTGCTCTTGAGTGAGAAGAAAGGTGGTAGTTGAGTGTCAATTTAACAAGTGTGTAGAGGGTGTGAAAATGTACAATAAGAGCATATGAGATTGGTAATAGTGAATTAATTATTAAAGCAAAAGCAAACTTAAAGTAAAATTAAAAACAAAAGAAAAAATCAAAAATTTTTAACAGGGGACGATTAGTGAAGAGGTTAAGACCAAGGTAGAATAAGAGACTGGACAAACTTTTTCTGTATACAGAGTTCAGGGCTGTATTGATGAATTGCCAGCGCCTCCGCCATACACAAAAACCGAAACCTGACGCTCTTTGTACCATTTGGCTTCACTTTGTAGATGATCTTGAAAGACAACCCTAGTGTAGCTACGTGGCCTGAGTTCACCAGATACTCGAGAAATCAGCTAGTAATTGTCTTGCATTGTCCCTTTCCTAACTATGCCGGATAATGTTCAGAGATACGTTTGGAAAACGTGCACTCTGTTCGGGTGGCCAATATAACTAGCTCCACACGAGCAGATGAATTTATATACACACACATTGAAGTGACCCGTGCAAAGCGGCAGTTTATCCTTCACACATTCATTGATCATTTGTCGGCTGTAGAAATTGATACGTAGCTCAGCCATAAAGAAGGCTTTCCTCAGTTATCTGCATAAGCAGCGATTCTTCAGGATCTCAGCTGCGGTATCACCTTTAAATTCAACACTTATAAAAAAGAGCAGTTTCTTCGGCACCATCTGAATTCTTTCAGGCTTTTCTATTAACTTCACCGCCTATTACTCAATAATAGACCACTATATATATATTTTTTTTTGTAAGTATAAATACGACTGTACAGCCAGCCTGTGAAGATGATTTCGTCGATAAATGGAAATTTTCTTCGCTGGCTGAATCTGTCTTTTATTTTCTCCATGACTCAATGGGTATTTTCGACGATTGTACAGCTTGATGATAAATTCGTTGCTGGAGAGAGTCATCACTTCAACATTCTCAAATCTAGTGCTACAGATATATATGTATATATACATAAGTATATGCGCGCATACTTATGATGTCTAGGCGAATAACATAAATTAATACTATCACACATATAAATATATAATCGATACCAAGAAAACAGAAGTATTTCGTCCAAAGTCTAAACAAAATTGATTGAACATGGATATGCTTGAAATACGTTAAGAAACAGATCGATCCGAAAGAGAAAAAACCGTATGTGATAGTCACATAAGGAGGTATATATATATATATATATTCTTGAAGTAGATAATTTCACGTTATAAAAGATTGAGACTGATTGATGGAAAATTTAAAAAAAAATCAATGAATAAATAAATTGAACATTGAAACATTATACAAAATTATTCTATGATAGACGTATGTTTATACACATACACGCTTTAAGATCACAAGTTTCCAGTTGCCTTGGACGTGAAAAAATACCGACGTCTAATCTAGATGACCAGTGAAAAACCAAATGAAGATGCATAGGCGGTTTCAGGCCTGTGTTGTTTTTAGTCAATAAGTCACACAAGTTTCGAGTCTTGATGAGTAGCCTTATCACACGGTAAATATATGGCTCTTAGTCTGTCTTTCGAAAGATATTTTCATCTATTTGTACATTTTGTAAATCTTTACTACTAAATCTATCTATGTGAATAGGATTTGTTTAGAATGATTTCTGGTCGGAATTATCATAAACATCGGTAAGTCTTTGTTGGTAGTCAGCAAAGAAAGTCGCATCCTGAAGTCCTTAGACGAATGACGACTAATGACCTTGACAGAGTAATAGATTGTTTGAAACAAGACATAGAGGTTTACTATTGTTCCCTTGGGTTCCTAATGGAACATACGGCTTCAACTGCACGTATCCACTTGCCTGCTTTTGTCTTCTGCTGTACTTCTCACCTGCAACCATCTTAGTCCATACTGTTTCAACTCCTCTCTCTTCACACGATCTCCTCCATGTCACCCTTGCACTGACATCCCACTCGCCGCTTCCATTTCAGCCAGGTTCCTCTCGAGCCATGGCCTGACGCGCGCGATGTCACCCAGCGGCCTCCTCAGCGAGTGAGTGTCCAATCCATCTCCACTTTCTCCTGCATATTTGCTGTTCTTGGGCGATTGGTTCTTGTTTTGTTTGTTCCTTCCCATAGTTTCTTGTTCGTGATTCTTTCCGGCCCGGCCATCTGAACTTCAGTATAGATCCAGCGAAGACAGTTGTTGGTTGATAAAGGTCTGCAACAGGCTGTTGGAAATATTCTTTGTGATCCGCCCGACAAGTTTCTGATCCGTATAGAAGAACTGACTTGACGTTTAAAGTACAGTCAATTAATGTGAGGTCACATAAGAAACAACCTGTTCATGGAACATATAGTTTCAATAACACATCTCCACTTCATCCCGTTCTCTGCAGACTCTAAGATTGCCACAAAGTCACACCTTTGGAACCACACTCAACTCACTGTTTCGAATTTAGGTCCCACTAGAGAGCCTGGCTTGCACCTGATATCACTCAACCCTTTTCCCAACTGATGTCCAATCGTACATCTCCATTTACCAAGGGGTTTATTTATTGGATAACAGACTCGTTGCCTGCCAGATTTCCTTGTTGGTAATGATTTTTTTACCAGAAATATGATTTTCAGTATGAAACGAAGGCAGGCAGCTGTTGTTAAAAGCCCACAGTAGCCTCTGTTGGACTGACTAACTGACTGGTTTCAACATACAACTTTGCACGGATGTTCAACAGTTCGAGTTACCACAATCCATATAGCAGACGAAGCAAGAGAAGTGAGTAAACAGAGATTCAAGAGAAAGATAATAGAGAGAAGTGTAAGTGAGGGAAAAAGAATAGTAACATGGAAGAACAATAGAGTTTTGTTGGATGATATGACGAATCGCAAGGAGTGAATGCATCTACGCCATCCACTGACGATGATTTTGAGCAATATCACCAGTCACTGGTTTTTACCTTCCCGATGACCCCAACCAGGAAGTCTACACCTCCCTACGTGACTTAAAGTAAATATTGTGGATTTCATTGACTGATGAAGCCATGTTTTGGTTCTACCACAACTGGTGCTTTTCCAACCTGATCCTAACACTGTCCGCTATCCAAGAAGGCGATGGCTAGGCATGCATAACACATTCCCTAACCATCTCAATCGGTGTAACTTCACAGTATCGTTTATTAATTTCCCTTCCCATAGCACTCGACCGAAACCTAACCTAAATATTGCTCACCTTATTATACCACTTCACACAGGCACCTTTGATCAAAGCCAGCTAGCTAGCCAGACTTTTCATGTCTTCCACTTTCAATGACCAGGTCTCACAGCCAAGCCTGTTGGAGATGCTTCCTGCGATGCGGCGACTCTCTGAATCATGTAGAAGCACTGATTCCGATCTCCCAGCTAAAATAAATTGCTTACGGAACCAATAAGTATTTTTAAATCACTTTGATCCGGCAGTAGAATACTACTGTTTCAGGACTGTATAATGAGCTGACATCAGTTAGAGAATCATTGGAAAACCAGCAGGGAATATTGAACAGCCAGATGTTTCGTCAGCCTAATTTTGGACTCTTCAGCAGCACGCACCCACCACTGGGGCTCGAACCCAGGACCTTAGGTTACAAGGCTAGCGAGCCCGCAGACCATTAAGCCACTGGGACCCATCCAATGGCCGGGCTCATGAATTCCAACTTCTGACAATTCACGACATCTGAGCAATTTCCGCCTACTTGTATCAATCAGTAGTATATACCAAGGTGTGGGAAAAAAAACAAAAGACCATGGAATTCGAGTTTGCTTGTTTATCGAACATAAACTTGCATAGTCTGAATAAGAAGGCAAACAAATACACACATACATACACAGAAAGATACCTCAATAAGTGAGAAGACGCTATATTCATTGTCAGAAATGCTGTATTTAGTGATTATATATATACATATAGATATATGAAAATATGTACAGAATATGGCGTATTAAAAGATCGATCAGTCCGGCATTTTTCTACACTTCTTCCTCACTTTAAATGTAAACGTCTTCTCCTGCTTATCATCATTCGACTTCTCTTCTTTTTCTGCTTTGTTGTTATCATCATCAGCAGTAGTGAAAGATGACTGACAGTTTACAGGTGTTCTTTTGATTGTTCGGGTTTTCGTCGTTATTGTCGTAGACGTTGATGGTGGTAGTGGCTGTGAGGATGAACCTTTTTTCAAAGACTTATCAGCTTTTCGCCTTACAAATAAGGCAACAAAGAAACCAGTAGTTAAATCTTCTTCAGATGATCGTATACACGATTCACATTGATATTTTTCGTCAGACAGGCCACGACGTTTCCAAGCTGGAGAAGTAGTAGCAGTAGTAGTAACACTATCTGACGAAACATTGGATGATGTGTTAGGCCAAATTGTTTCTAAGTGAAATTTGTCAGATACTCGATCAGCATTTTCACGTACAACTGCTTCATTCTCCTATTATAAACAACAACAACAACAAATAACATGATGAGATATTTACACAACAAATTTGCATGTTAGCAGAACATACTACTGATTGATTGATATGAGTAGTTGGAGGCCAATCACATCAAACAGTAGTGCGTCCTAGCTAGCCATAATCGAAGTTATTCAAACGACGGACAACCGTTTCGCTTATTCGGTGTGGAATTTATCAGTGGTGTGACCAGTATGACTCAGCTTCAAATTCTGAAGCAGGTTATTATTATATCCTTTAATTCCTAGAGTAACATAGGGCTTCAGTCGCGAGTCTCCATCGCGTTCGGTTTTCTGCCAACATTTTCACCCGCTCCAAGTCTGCCCACATGCTTTCATCTCCTCTTCACATCACCTCCTCCAAGTCACCCTTGCACTGACGACCAACTCGCCGCTTCCCTTTCGAGTTCCACTCGAGCAATGACTTGTCTAGTGACGTCACTTGATGGTTTCCTCAGAGTATGGACAATCCAATCTACCTCCATTTCTTCCTGCCTATTTGTTTCGCAATCGGTTCCTGGTTTGTTCGCTCCCAGAGATCCCTGTTGCTGATCTTTTCTGGCCGGCCATCTGATCTTGATTATTGAGCGAAGACAACTGTTAATGAAGGTCTGAAGTTTGTTTGAGATGCTCTTTATGACGCGCCAAGTCTCGGATCCGTATAGTAGCACTGACTTCACATTGGAGTTGAAAATCCGGATCTTATTTCCATTTTCATGCTGAGTGTTGTTGACCTCCACACAGACTTGAGAAAAATGAAAGCTTGCTCTGCTTTCCCAATATTCGCTTTGATATTCTTGTCAGTTCCGCGTGTAGTTGGAACGATGCTTCCCAGGTCGGTGGGTAAAGGAGGTTGCTTCTTTCAGATTTCTTCGTTTTATGCTAACTATTGTTGTTGATGATGGCCAGGAATGTATCACGCAACTGCATATTGCAACCGCTTCGAACCTTGATAAGGGGTTCTATATGAGTACTGATAAAGAATTCCAGACTAGGATGAAACAAGTGTCCAGCAACCAATGTAGTCTGTGGGGTCACGCTAAATCACGAATTGGTAAAAGTTAGAATTCATGGAGTGGCCATTGAATCGGGTCCCAGTGGCTGAATGGTGTACAAGCTTGCCTTGAACCAGACGGTTGTGGGTTCGAACCCTGTTGATGGGCTCGTACTGTCGATGATTCCCAAATTAGGATGAAACAGCTGTCGGTCCAGTACTCCAGCGCTGGTTTTCAATGGTTCTCAAACTGATATCAATCCGTGATCAACTCGTAAAAAACAAATCTAACCCTTACAAAACTAATCATAGAAAAATTCAGCGTATTACTATGACAAAATAAATTAAGACACTGCAACATAAACCAACTAACTTCTGGATGGATTGAACACGTTGAATAGACAACACGTTGAACATTTGGAAAATTCAAAGCATGTTTTAATAGTAAAGCTTGAAGATTAGACAATCGTTTCAAACGAGATGAATACTCTTCATTATAGACATCATCATCACCATGATTACATCCGGCAGGTTTACGATTTTGTAATTCTTCAAAATGTTGACCATCCGGTTGACGAAATGATAGACCAGAACCACTACATGATGGGTCGAGGAGAATTGACTGAACATTTGAAAATTGTGGATCATATGGATCGAGAGAAAGAAAATCTGCAAGATAAGCTTGAACTGATGGTTGTGAACTTTGAGTATTATTTTGATGTTTAGCAGTAGTTGAAGAGGATATATCATACACCACAGATAAACGATCTACTCCACAAGAAGTAAGATTATCTGAAAGGCGACGAAATCTATAATTTAAAAAAAATCATTAGATAAAATCATGGACTCAAAAAAAATCAATATAAATCATCAGTAGTACTTCCTCTCTTACGAACAATGAACCTTGGAAACCACCTTGCAGAGATTTCTTAACAATGCAAGAAGAAAAGCGGTTGGCATTCAAACTCACACACTTTGTCGGTTAAAGGATCAATCCTGTGGAGCCAATACAACAAAACAATTTAGCTTGATCTAATACCCTGTCTGCAATGATTATCAGGTCAAATACATAAGTCAAAGTAGTAGAACCAAGTCTTTCAGACTAGCGGAGCACAAAAACTTAGCAGCTAAATCTAGATTAATTTTCAAGTATTGGTTTTTCAGGGATTTTGTTTGATTGGTTGGAGGATTTCATCATGAGCTGACATCGGTTAGAGAGCCATTATAAAACTATCCAGGAGTATTGGACAACCAAATGTTTCGTCATCCTAGTTTGGGACTCTGCGTCAGAATGCGCACACCACAAGGGTTCGAACCCAGGACATTCTGGCTACAAGGCTAGCGAGCTCGCAGACCATTAAGCCACTGGGACCCAGTCAATGAATTCTAACTCCTGCCAATTCATGATATCGCACGACCACTTCGCAATGCCCCAGCGGCTTAATGGTCTACGAGCTCGCTAGCCTTGTAACCAGAAGGTTGTGGGTTCAAACCTCAGTGGGTGCGCACTGTGAAGAGTCCCAAACTAGGACGAAGCGGTTGGCTCCCCACCACTCCTAAATAGTTTTCCAATAGTTCTCTAACTGGTGTCAGCCCATGATGAAAAGCTTCCAACCAATTAAATATAGATTAGTTGACCCTAATAAGATAAGAAATCCGGAGAATGGTTCAACTATAGCACTCACTAAATGCAATCACACACAACCATACAATAGAATGGGATAAGATGACAGTTTTAAAATCTCATGCAACACGGTAGAACGAGAGATTGATAATGGGAGTTTCATTTGTCGAATCAACTGTAAATACGTGTAAAACAGGGGTGGGTCAACACTTGTCCACGCGGACATCTAGAAAGTTCTACTACCCCTATGATGACGAATAGCAAAGAATAAAGACAACTATAGAACGAAAGCTTCAAAGTTGTGTGATTACAAATGATATGATTATAACCAATTGATGAATTGTGTTCGAAACTTCGTCATCCAGTAAATAATACTGTTTCACTGTGTAATTAGCTAGTACATGAAAGATTTCAACTACTTATATCTATCAGTAGTATATAACCGGGTTCTGAGTGGAATATACGGCTTCAGCAACACATCTCCAATTTGTTCTATTTTCTGCCATCCTCCTCTTCAGCTGGATCGACGATTACCCATGATCACTCATCACTTCCATGTCACCCTAGCACTGACGACTCACACGTCGCTTTCCATTGGGGATTCCACTCAAGCAATGCCGTGGCGATGGTGCAATGTCATTTGACGGCCTTTTCATCGTATACCCGATCCATCTCCGCTTTCTCTTACATATTTGTTGAGCGATTGGCTCTTGCTGGTTGGTTTGTTCCCAGCCAGAGTTTCTTCTTACTAATTCATTCTGACCGACCCGCCAACTGGCCATTTGATCTTCAGTATGGAGCCAGAGAAGGCAGCTGTTGCTAAAAGTCCTATGTTGAAACTAGTCAGTCAGCACTCAGGTAGAACTAATGGCCCTCACGCAAAATAATTGTGTGGCTTCCTCCCACCTGCATGGATATTGGACATTTGGCACACTTCCTATTCAACAGAGATTCACAACAAAACTCCACACAGATTCTTAGTATTCATGTCAGTACACACATTAGATGGGTCGGTGGCACAGTGGTAAAATGCTCGCTGACCACGCTGCATGTAGTCCGTGATTCGATCCCCGGCCACTGACTCATTCCTTTGCCTCGCTAAGCCAGTAAAATAAGACTGGTAAAGAGGGAAGGTTGGGCTAGGTGAGGCTGGCCAGCAACCCCATCCCGTAAAAATAAACACCACTGCTACCGAAACTTCAAGCCTCAAGTTTGAAGCCCCCCGCCTATTTTCCACTCGGAACGTAAAGGAATTTTAAAAAAATTTTTAGAGGCAATCGACAGGAAACAGTAGACCTCTAGATCTCTAATTGCAGTACTGGATGAAACAAGTTCACATTTCTTTGGAAGGCAATCAGTCAGTCGCTAGAAAAAGTTTATTATGAAAGTTTTAGGATAGGTTAATACATTGTAAGGGGGAAGAAATCCACACACACACAACTAACCTGCTTGGATCACGATCAATAGCGAAAATTGTCGCTTGATTAGACAGCATAGAGACTAATTGAAGTGTTTTATTCCCTGGAGCAGCACAAGCATCGATAACATCTGCTTTAGGATTTGGTTGAAGTATCTCTGCACTGAAACAACTAGCCTTTGAATGAGAGAGAAAGAGCAAAAGGCGTTAGGAAAATGATATACCTCTTCAGGATACGCTTTCAACATGCAAAAAGTTCTGTGAATAAATGAATGAAATACAAAACAAAACGTGATTAAAATATATATTGAGGTTGAGGCATAAAATGTCAGGTAGAGAAGGAAAGTCGTTCGATAAAAAGTGAAGTTACATCGATTGAGATGGATGGCTAGAACACGTGTTAACACATGGAAAAGACTTTGATATGATCTCAAATTAAAACTCGTCATAGCTTCATGAATAAAGCAAGAACTATAGTTTTTGCAGATTAAAGTGGTACCATCAGTGTTTATTTCGTTGCCTTCTCGTCAGCTGCTTACAGGCCAAAGACATTATTAAATATATATAAATATGGGATAGTAGATAATGATCATGCAAAAGGAATGACCGTCTACTGTCAAGGCATCCTACTGACGGAGGGATTCGGCAGTTTTGAGCTAAGATAGGACTACAGTCGATACATTTTAGAGACAGAGACTACGTGATATATCTGTAGGATTTGCTTTTTACTCTTCTAAGCGTGTTACAGGCAGTAGATTATGCAACATCATTACTACATGTCTAGACTAAAAGTCTGTTTATGAGTTTTATTCATCAGTTCAATACAGCAGTCATGTGCATTTAAGGCTAGATGTCATTTTTATACTTTTTTTAAAATATTTTCGACTTGAATCATTTGATGATGATCAGTGACTATTATTATTTATTATTATTGTTCCCTTGGGTTCCTAGTGGAACATACGGCTTCAACTGCACGTCTCCATTTGCTTCTGTCTTCCTTCTGCTGTACTTTTCACCTGCATCCATGTTAGTTAGTCCATACTCTTTCAACTTCTCTCTCTTCACACGATCTCCTCCATGTCACCCTTGCACTGACGTCCCACTCGCCGCTTCCTTTCCGGGTTCCACTCGCCCAATGGCCTGAGGCGCAATGTCACCCAGCGGCCTCCTCAGCGAGTGTCCAATTCATTCCCACTTTCTCCTGCATATTTTCTGTTCTTGGGCGATTGGTTCTTGTTTTGTTTGTTCCTTCCCATAGTTTCTTGTTGGTGATTCTTTCCGGCCCGGCCGGCCATCTGATCTTCAGTATAGATCCAGCGAAGACAGATGTTGGTTGATAAAGGTCTGCAACAGGCTGTTAGAAATATTTTTTGTGACCCGTCACCAAGTTTCTGATCCATATAGAAGAGCTGACTGACTTGACGTTTATATTGAAAATCCGACGGAATTTTGTTGTTGATGCTGAGTGACGAAAATTTCCAGATTGCTTTGAGGGCGATAAATGTATTTCTCGCCTTCCCGATTCTCGCTCGATTTGACATCCTCGTCCGTTCTTGCTGTAATTGAGACAATGCTCCCTAAATAAGTGAATGAAGTAACCTCGCGTTGATGGTGGGATTAGTGACTGTAATAAACGTAATTACATAATCTCATTGCTCTACATAAAACACCCCAAGCACTATTTTGTGTTTTAGGATATTGTGACCATTTTCTCCCATAACTGTTGTAAGTGGAACTCAACATCTCTTCTGGACATTAGAGGTTTATTACTTACCATTATTTTCCTCAAGCACTGCAGAGAGGAAGAGAATTACTGTTGCATGACCGTACAACCCAGGGGAAAAAGTGCTCGAAACAGGTTACATACATACACACGGACTGTTTGATATAACTGTTGTTAGAGTTACATCCGTATGAAGAACTTACCGCCAACGACGGATCACCGTAGGATAAGTCGGGATGTACAACTTTTGAGGTCAACCCTTTCTAATTCCCTTCTCTAGAGTGGAGAGACAGCATATCTAGTATGCTGGTCATTCAAGGGAAACACCTTACTGTTGTTACATCCTTGCTCCCCAGCAGTCCGATGTTGCACACAGACGATCCCAAGCACAGTGTGAAGATCTTACACTATGTCGGCAAGTGCTTTTCGTTTAATCTCTACCCTAACTACCTTTCTGGCATCGTAGGATCTCTAGGAACATAAGTCCCAGACACAGAGTAGCGCATTGGCGTCATTAAGAAATGCAAGCCCGACCAGTACACCCAAGTAGCAGCTATCAGTAGGAGATTAATGAGGAAAAAGATGATCAGGCGCATGTGTACCCATTTAAAACGATACTCCTTCACTATCAAATCAACTGACTCTCCTTTTTTACCCAACAGTGAGGCTAAGCTTAATACTGCGCACAATATATACAATTATACCACCTAACACAGGAGATAGAATGCAAATACCTACGGTTACGGCAAAAAGACAGGTAACCTCTTCATTCATTACAATCAGCTGTTTTTATTTTCAGCCGGAATATGAACTGCCATGTTTAGATTCACATGTGTATTGGAGATACAGTATGCACTACTGGAAAAAAACTTCTAAGTAATATATATATATAAATATATAAAAAGGCGTATGAACCGAACTCCGGTCACCGGCTGCCAATGGATAGTGAACTCCTTACTCCACTCCTACTGCCTTGTAGGTCACACTTGGCTGTGTAAAGGCTAGAGCTGCACTCTCAAACAAAAGGCCGAGCGATGCTGGGGACATCACTCGTACCAAATTCCCATGAAACTTCATGAACTCTCTTACAAATTGCCGCGCCTGGGCAGCGATGATTCGAGACGTTCATGAAGCCGGCTCATCCTCCCGTAGGAGATAGCCGAAGTAAAGTAAAGTAAGTATTGTATGATGTACTCTATTGCTGCAAGAATATTGAACGGTGGATGGATCGGTTGAATTAGTAAAAATATTTTCTACAAATTGACGCTTCAATGGAAACTGATTACATTTTGCCATTCCATCCAATAAACAGGGTTATTTATTGGACGACATCTTTTCAAAACACAATTTATTGTTCGTCATCACAACAATCTACAGCAGGAAGTGAGACAACATAAGAGAAGCTTTGATACTTAATAATTCTTCTGGTAAATTAATTAGGAAGTACAATTAATTTTTTTAAATTTTTTCCTTCACGTTCCCCTGTGGAACATAGGGCTTCAAGCTAGTGGCTTGAAGTTTCTGTAGCAGTGTTTATTTTACAGGATGAGGTTGCTAGCCTCATGCCCAACCTTTCCTCTTTACAAGGATTATTCCTGGCTTAGCGAGGTAAAGGAGTGCGCCGGCCGGGAATCGATCCCCGGACTATGTGCATGGTCGGCGAGCGTGCTAACCGCTATGCCACCGACGCACTAGGAAGTACATAAGAAACTATAAAAAATAAATAAAATAAAACGACCAATACGGGTTATCGAATATATTTTTTAACTCATTGGAAATTCCGATTGTTATTCAGCGAAGAGACTCTTTTCCAACGAATTTATCATCAAGCTGTACAGTCGTATATATGTGGTTTTTAAGAAGTTATACCAATTTTCCATTTTTTCATTTTATCTATTTAACTTGTATTCTCTTCCTTTATTACGTTAATTGTTACTATTACTATTCTCACTTTGAACTGTCTCCGGTATTATTTCACTTGTTCCACTCGTCATTCTAAATCGATTCTTTTATACAACGTTAAATTCTATGCTATCAAATTTCACACAATATTACGTAAGGTTTTTATTTTATTCGATTTGTCTACTAATCCTATAACTGCACACCCTTTTGGATAGGATAGAGAAGATTTGTAGCTCAGGTGGAGGATTTTGATGTGATTGTGTTCTCTGAGCTGGATAGTTAATTTTCAAAGATTTCATCGCCCTACTAGGCGACATCCTTTTTAAGGATATCTCAGAAATCACTACAAGACTCCTCAAACCTTTAGGAATTAGACGTCGTACACAAACCAACAAAGTCGCTTCGGTCAATTCTATGTCAACCAAAAGACTCAACAGCGAAAGAAGACAAAACCAACATCATCTACAAAATAAACTGTAACAACTGCGAAAAACACTACATTGGCCAGAGTGGACATCCCCTTCGTCTTCGCGTACACGAACATAAGCTAGCCGTCAAAAGACATGATATCCACTCTCATATCACTCACTACATACAGACAACTACGGACATCAATTCGACTGGGACAACGTTCAAATATGAAACAGAAGAAACAACAAGAATGCTAGAGAATTTTTAGAAGCTTAGCATTCCAGTGAATCATCAACCAATAAACACATCGAGATAAACTAAATTTATCAAACGATAAGAAAGAAACCTCACACACAAAGGTTCAAAGTTCAAGTCAAAGAAACAATCAGGTGTGAAAAAACACAAAAACAACCAATCACGTCCAAGGTCACCGGGAGAGATGATTAATAAACTCGTGGAGAAATCTAAAAGCTCACTTCAAATTGAAGTATGCGCTAAAGATGTCGCCCAGTAGGGCGATAATAGCTTCGCAAATTAACTATCCAGATCAGAGAACGAAACCATATCAAAAACAACCTTTTGGAGTTCTATCCATCCTACGAATGATTCTATATTTGACATTAATTGTTTTGCCACTTGACATTTACCTATGATTATGATCACAAACATTTTAGTTGTAATTGCATTTCATCCTATTATTATTATTATTTTATGCATTCATACCTATGATTTAATTTCCTCACCGGATACAACTTCTTAAAAACCAACATATATATATGACTGTACAGCTTGATGATAAATTCTCTGAAAAGAGTCTCTTCGCTGAATCACTTGCTTTGATTTTCTATATTGAATATACACAGAAAGATGACAGTACCAAGAATAGTGCTGTCATACAAAGAGGGAACACCTTTGAAACCAATATGTTGGATTATTAACAAGGTAGAGATAATAGTCGCATATAAACACCCAAAAATCCACTTGGGAATAAATTATGTCGATAAAAAAGGGTCAACTCGTAGAACTCAATGAACAAAATAATTTAGTTTATCTAATAATCTGCAATTGTTTTTTTTTGTTATAGCCTGATTCCACACAGTATTTTGGTACAAGTATGGAATTTTCAGCATGTGATATCTGC